ATTTTTCCTAAATGAGTTGGCCACGTTTCAGAAAGCCATCATTTTAATGTATTGCAAATGGAATATACATAATGATATGCAAACCATATGAGCTGTAGACAGCTCAAATGTGATATTTTTTTATTTTTTTTAGACAAAAGAAAAGGGAGAGGGAAAAGAGTGAGCAAAGGGCAGAACAGTGTTATTAAATGTGAGGAGAGCAGAGGGAAAATGTCACTGCAGTGAACATTTTAATGAGTATGCTGCTAACACGTCTTCACTCACCTGTACACTTTACATAGTCATTCTGCAAGGAACAGCTAAGAAGATTGAAAATGTTAAAACTTCCCTGTCAAACAGCATGTTTAATTGACCTAGTAATGTTACAGTTTAAATGGCAGCTTTCCTAATTAACAATATATATAAAAGCAGGTTGTGCCGTGTCACACATTATCAAGTATGATTTTTTTGTCTGTGAATTTTTGATGAAACTTTAATGTTGTTGACAGTTTTGTACCTCCTACCATTATATGTGTTTTAGCACATCTCAACAGCCCTAATCCTTTGATTTTCCAGTGGCAAAAGAAAGGATATCCCCTTTCTTTAGGGAAATCTCCCCAATGGGACACATTTCCTACTTTCCGGAGGAAAAGAATTAAGCAAAATTACAGTTAAAGAATGCTAAAGCGAGATATGGGGGTCCAGCTGGGTAGCTCTTACCAGGATAGCAGAGTAGGCACTACAGTAGACTGCTGCCTGTGATGCAGAAGAAAGTAAGCAAAATAGTCAGAAGGTAAAGAATGGTGTGGTGTAGGGCTGCAACAACAAATCGATTATAACCGATAATGAGAATCGTTGGTAACGGTTCTCATCATCGATTAGTTGGTTTTCGATTAGTTGCCGCCGCTCTGCTCCTCCATTCTCCTCCCCACTGGTGCTGGTTGCAGCGGTCTGTGTCCCTTGCAATCTCCGCTGCTTTCCCGGCCTGTATTGGCAGAGGCAACAGGGACACAGACCACTACAACCGGCACCAGCGGGGAGAACGCTGTGACTGTATTCCCCCGCTGCCCCCCGTACCTCCGCAGTTGCCCCTTATCCCTCTGCTGCTGCCCCGGTCCTTCTCTGCCCCTGTGCCTCTGCTACCACCCCGTTTCACCTCAGGCCCAGCCTGTTTCACCTCTGGCCCGGCCCGTTCCTCCTCAGCCCGGGCACGTTCCAAGTTTGTGCAACACTAGACACAATTTACATATATACTGTATATATATATACATGTATGTATATATAAAAGGTAGGAAAAGTCCTTTTCGGTTTCGGCCTAAAATTTTTTGCTACAGGAGGTGTGTTGCGGTGCCATTCATTTCAATGAATCCCAAATGCACCTCCCGTCCGCAATGTGATTGCCCGCACTGGAACACGCGGTACTGCAATGCCTTGCGTTCCAGTGCAGTATGGTTTCAAAAAAATGTGCACACCATTTTTTTCTAAAGAAAACTTTATGTCTGTAACGCTGCATTTGTGTATTTTATTTTAAATAAATGACGGTAGTGGTAGCCCTAGTGGTATGTCAGGAAGGGCATCCAATATGGGGAGCTGACTGTGCTACAGTTGTACTATACAAAGGATGCAGGTTGTGCTGCAGTGTGATATAAGTGTACTGTGTCTTTTATATAGGATCTGACTGTGACAGGTAAGAGATACTACATTTGGGTACAGTGATTAATGTATAGAAGTGCTTATGAGGAGGACTCTAATGTATAGGGAGCTCCTGATGTAAAAGAGAGGTCTCTGATGTATAGGGTGGCTCTTGATATGAAGGGAAGGGCTTGGATGCATAAGGAGGCTTAAGATGTAAAGGGGAGAACTCTGATGTAAAAGGGGCTCCTGATTTGAAGGAGAAAATACTG